AATTTACTCATAATAATTATTCGGTTAAAATACATGTATTTTATTTAAATTCAATTACATTATATTTAGGTAAAAACAAATGATGAAATTGAATTTAAGCCCTCCAAATTCAAATACACACCGTCAAATTCAAGTTACCAAACAGAGCATATGTAACAATAAACATGAACTACTAGCCACGTTTATGGTAATTACGAAAATCCTCTTTCTTTTTTTTCAGTTTTCTTGTAGGTATTACAAAATATTTATATTATAATTATGTTGATTGGATTTATATTATAATTTATTGATAAAATTAAGTTAATTAATTTTATATCATAAAATATTTTTTTGTACAATTCTACAAATAAATACCTTGTATATTTAGTAAAATTAAAAAAAAAATTCCTTTCTTCATATATCTTTAAAATATAGTACACATGCAAATCAATAATCCAATACAGGTGCATTCGACACTCAACAATACTTTTGACTGCACTGGCAATCCTCCTCACCCTTAAAGGAATTTTTATTCGCACGATATTAAGAATATATTTATTTTATTTTTTATAATTAATTTTTTTTAAAAAATAGAAGTTAATTTTAATTTTATTAACTATTAATTAAAATATTTCATATAATATTGATGTTAAAATAAAGTTAATCTTTTTAATTTTTTATATAAATTAAAAGTAAAAAATAAAATAAATATATCTATAGCTTCAAGAAAAGATATAAATAAAGATGTCAATATTGCATTGTTTTTTTTAAGGATGTTAAATTTATTAATTTTTAAACAAAGAAGTCAAATTTTATTTTTTTTATTTACATATATCAATTTTTAATTTTTTTATTTAAGGATAATAATTTTCAATATTTCAATTAAATTTTTTTATCATGTTAGTATTATCATTTAAAAAGTTTTTAAATAGAAAAAATTAAAATTTAATATCATTAAAAAAAAGTTAAAAGATAATATTTCAAATAAAAAAAATTTTAAGTTAACATTCAAGTTAATATTCTTAAATACAAAAAAATTAAAATTTAGTATTTTTATTTAAAAATTAATAAAACTAATATCTTTAAATAAAAAAATATAAAATTAATATATTTATTTACACAACTTCTCTTTGTACTTTTGAGGCAAATGTTGGAAAACCCATCTTAAAAACTTTTAATTTAACTACTTAATTAATTTATATATGAAATAGGATGCATTTAATTTTGCCAAAACAATGTAACTACTTTTCGGACAAAGAAAAAAAAATGAAAGAAATAGAGTTGAAAGTAATTAATGTCTCGACAGACACAGCCAAGAGGACCATAAACGCCGCCGCGAAAAGGGAGCCGTAGGCAACCAAGACGTTAGACAACCAGGACCGTTAAGTTCATTCCATCATCCACTGCAAGCTTTGAGAAGATGTTCATTTGAAAGTTGTCAATACAGTATTGATATAGGTATCAATTTTATTATTAAAATAATACATATTAGATATTAAATTTTTTATGTATTGTTTCAGATTTATCATTATAAACATATATTATTATAAATTAAATATCAAATTTTAAAATAAAATAAAAAATATTAATATTTAAAATAATCATGTTCTTATAAATTAAAAATAAATTTAAAATAATTGTTTTTAACCCTTCAATTTTTAATATATGTATATTTTTTATCTATCTATTTTAAGTTAAGAGATTAAAAATGTATATAGTTAGACAAACTTAATAGAGTAATTGATAAAAAAACTAAAAAAAATATATTTTTCATAGTTGATGGTTAAAAAAGTACATAAAAAATAAAAAAATAAAAATTATATAAAACATTAAAATTGAGAACCAAAAATAAAATTTATCTTTTTTAAATTTGAATTGACTTTTAGCTGTTAATTTTCGTATATCAATTAATATGTCGAAATATTAATCCGTACATTAAAATTTGATCAAAATAGATAAAATTTGACCAAAATAAAATTAAATCATATACCATTTTAATTCAATATAGAAATCAATATGTATCAACGGTACCGATTGATATAGTACAATATCAATAACATTGATTCATTCCGGTGAAGGCTGTCTGAACCAGCACCATGACCACCAACGGCCGCCACCCATGTACGAAACGAATCGGCCCTTTCATTTTCTTCACAATTTCTATTATTATTTTATTTTTTGAAAATAGGCAATGGTTCCTCGCAATTTTTAGAGAGAACAGAGAAAGTAATTATAAGTAGATCAAAAATTGAAGAATGAACCGTTATAAAAACTCTTAAAAGCACTTGGACTTCCGGATCCAATGGTAATAAAATCACATTAAAATGTTTTTTTTTTTTTTAAGCAACCATTTGAATCCTATGTTTGAAAACATGTTAAAAAAAAAACACCTCCTAAAAAAAGAATTAATATAAAAGCTTTGTACCAATCAATGAGAACTTGACACGTGTTACAAGTTAATTTGATACTGAATCGAAGCTCTGCTGGACATGATTTGGATTTATAGTTAGGGATGGAGTCTGGACCCATTTCTTCACTCTTCAGTAATTACATTTTTAGTAAAATCTAACATCATCGTCCTTTGAACTTTCTGAATTGAATTTCCTGAATTATCTTAAGAGGGAATATTTATTTATATATAAATTTTATATGTAATATTTATACAAAATATTAATAATTTATTTTTTAATTTTTAATGATTGAAATTTATTATAATTATTTAAATAACAATAATTATTTTCAATAAATATAAATAAAATTTAATAATTAAAAGTGTATAGATAAATTATTGAAATTTTATTTAAATATAATATGTAAAATATATATATATATATATATTTATCCTTCCCTTAGTTTCTAAGTGTAAAAATATAGGTGGTTAGGAACTTATAGATAATATCAACAAAAAGGATAAAACTTAGATGGACGGGCAAGGCTTTCTTATCTTGGCTTTCAACCGTAATATTATGAAATTATCATCATAATATATTATTATATAATTAATTTTTTATTTTTATATTTATTTATGATATTATATATATTAAATTATATAATGATATGTTATTATTGTAAATTTATAATTTTATGTGATATAATATTGTAACAAATAAATACTAATTAATATATATTCTAACTTAATATATTAAACAATATATTAATTAAAAAATAATTAATTTTTTAATATGAAATTAAAAATAAATAAATTTAAAAATATAATTATATATATAATTAATTTATTTATTATATTTATATTATATTTTAATAACTAAATTGAACAAACATTAAAAAGTATATTAAATCACAAGGTGTAATTATAATAATATCATTGCCTTTGTTTTAACTCGTTTGTCAAATTAGCCTGAAGAGCAAGACCTTGCCCAAAGCTCCACCCTAGAGGAGTGCTGTCCCTCCACATTGGGGTAAAACGGTAAAGGCGCTAATTAAAATCACGATGGTGGCATCTCACCTCGGACCCTAAAACCTTCACTAGTATGTTTTCGTTTGAGTAAAAACGGAGGAAAGTAAATAATTTTTATGCAATTAAATTAAGACATTGAGCTAAAATTATTGGACATAAAATTTTCCCCTCCCTCTTCTCTATTTTCTTTAAACTAAATATACTTCAATTTTATTATTTAATAAAAGACAATGAAAAGTTATTTACCTTTCTATTTTGAGAAAGTAGTTTAAGAACTTGCCTACATTAAGAGTTCCATGTTAATCTCAAGTAGTATAAGAAGGGTATATAGTTAACAATTTTTTTTTTCTCCTTTGTCTCTCTTCTTTGTTCCTTTATCTCTCTAGAAAGTTAAAGAGTGGTGGAAATTTTGTAAATTACTTGGGGTTCAAGGGTCTTTTAGATGATTGAAATTATGATTTTTTTAATAATTTCATAAAAATTTATAGAGGTTTTTTGTTTGTAAATGATACACAACAGTAAAAAAAACAAAGAATACATAGAAATTGATAAAGTTAAATTAATGATTAAATTTTTGACCTTATAAAATTATAACTTTTAAGTTCTTAAATTAAAATTTTTGAGTTATTAAAAATTTGAGCATGTAATCTTTAATTTGTGGATGACATCATGATAATTGAAATTTGAAATATATGGTACCCTAATAAGTTGGTATTTTTTATTTTAATTTGAAAATTATTCAATTTAATTTAATTTCAAATTCTACAAGAAGATTTTTAGTATATCTAATAATAGGTTATACAAGAAAGAATAATAGCTCTCTTTTATTCTCAAATCCCTCCTCACAAATTCTACATGAAGTTGACTATCTTTTATATTATGAAAAGTTAAATATATAAAATTATAGATAAACTTAGTTTTAAAATGCATGATACAATATTAGAAATTAGGCATTACAGGGAGTTGAAAAAAAAAAAAAAGATAGATGAAGTGAATTTCGGTGGTTATGAAAATTAAAGTGTTGCTTTCACATTAACAAAAATCAATCAATACTTATTTTGTGTAAATTATAAGGGAATTTAATAGGAACAAATGAGACTTTGTACACATTATTATAATATAAAAATATAATACTTCCTATATAATTTTTTCTGTTAAAACTTGATGCATTATTAATAGATCGCGTGGGTGGTGGAAAATGCTAGTTATGACATAAAGCTACTCGGTTCAATAGTTAACTATAATATATGTACATACATGTTCATGAGGTCCATATTTAGATTTTGATTATTTGCAATGGTTTCTCCTTGACTGGGTTTTGAGTGGAAATGACTTTCCTTCCTTACGCCTTTTTTATACTATTTTACTTGATAAAATTGTACTCCATGCATAACATTTTTGTTTTGCTTTTTTTTTGGTTTTTTTTTTTTTTTGAATTTCATTGTATTTTTTTTTTCCATTGTAACTTTGTACCCATGAATTTCATGTTTTTTTTTTTTTTGAATTTCATTGTATTTTTTTTTTCCATTGTAACTTTGTACCCATGAATTTCATGTAAGCATTGTGTACGGACTACTTTATCACCAAATTAACATGTTATGGCATCCAAGATAAGAATTAATTAGAGGCAGTCTATATCTCCTTCTTTCTCCTCTTTCACATCTCCTTTATCATTTGCTTATTTTTCTTCCAATTCCTTGCTCAAACTTTTAAGACTTGCGTTTCCAGCAGTACCAGGCGATGTAACAGTAATCTCAAGCGATTCAGTTTGAGGAGGCTTGTAGATGTCATTAATTGAGTCATCTTTATCATCTCCTTTCCCTTACCCCATAGTACAATGTATAATCCCAACACAATCAGCACCGTGCCTAATACGCTGCAATTCAAAGAATATTAAATTTAAAACCAAATTCTTCCTGACAAGCAATAATTTATAACAATGAATCACTTAGACATATACACCTTCCCAAGAATAATTTCTCTTCGAGTAACAAGGCCCCGCAAAAGCTACCAACACTAGCATTAAAGGGTTAAAGACCGAAACACAGAGTGGGCCTTCCATTTGCACACACCATGAGATCAACATAGACATCAATCCAGAGGCAAGAATTCCCTGTAAAACACATATTTAGTAAATGCAGAGTCTCGAATTAGTACATGATAATCCATTTGATTAATTAAAATGAAAAATTATTATTTAGCTTGAATTGCATTGGATTGCATAAATTTAACTATTGAATGGGGATAAGTCTATTAATATTTTATCTTCATCCTCTAACTAATATTACATGTTTTGTAATTCAATACAATTTAAATATTTTATAAATTTTAATTAAAATTATGACGTACTGCATAAGCTACGGTGAGAAGCTTGATGTTCGATCCTAACCTCCATTGGCTCCAGTCCTTTTCTGTTCAAAGTGCAAAAATAACAGATTGGATCGCACCCATCAAACACATTAATGCTGTGCTCGTATAGTGACATTGATACCTCTCATTCATTTTCGCCTATAAGTCAAAAACCAAAAAATGTTTGGTAAACATATAAAAACATTATTGTCAAGGGATTAAAGAAAATCATAACTTAAAATTAAAATATCAAAAATGACAATAAACAAATAAAATATCTATTAATGAATCAACATGTAAACATAATATCTCTTGAATTTCATTTTTATCTTATAACTTACTTGGTTTAAGTGGAGGGGAGGAATTTTATTTTATTTATTTATTTTTGTATTTTAATCTAACTATACAAAAGAAGGTGAAGGGAGTGGAGGAATATCTTTCTCTCTGTTTTCCTCAAATCAATTAGGGGGTTAATGTTTATCTAACACACATTCAATGTCAAATAGTCTAGAGGGAAAAATGAAAGGGTATAATTGAAACTCAATTAAACTTCTAGATTGAAAAGAAAATTTCCCAAAGTGTGTAGAACAATTTGCAATTACGGTACCTGAATTATCAACCAGAGGGCGTAGGAGATGCAACAACCAAGGGCCGCTAAGGCGCCTAATGCTAGACCGGGGGAAGCTACCTGTGATGAGGCCACATGGCAGGTGGTGGCTTGATTATGGTGGCGGAGGAGGTCAAGATGTGCGCACGTGCTGCTAAAATGGCAAAGATGGGCAGACTTTTTCACGAGGAGTACCATTCCCCCAAAGATGGGCAGGCTTTCTTCACATGAGGAGTTCCATTCCCCCCTGTTTGCTATTACAATCCTTGTTAGGCGTAGGCTTACAGGGCATCACCATTACTCATAGAGGGCGCAGTGTTTCTCCACAAAGGATGAGCTAACTTCTTGTTCTTAGCATAAGAGGAATTCCAGTCCCCACCATCCTGTGCATAATAATCCATTGGATGGTCCCCAACCAAATCTTCTTCTTCTTCCCTAGATTTCTCATCCTCATTCCTACAACAACACGATTCACTCTTTCCCACCAACCCGGGATACACCCCAGGGCAATCTCTGCCTCAAATGTTGTCGACAAGGGTTTCTCAAACGCGTCTCCCAAAATAATGGAAAACCTTGGACAGGCAATCTGAATCCAGGCATCCACTAATTCTCAAACAACTTAACTAGAGTGGGACTAATCTCTGGCATCAAAACAAATGTATAATCAAACCCCTTTTCCCTCATTACCCCCTCCAGTCTCTCCAAAACCTCGGATTCCCCTGCCTCCCTAACTTCCCCAATACAATTCCCCAACTTGCAGCTCCTTTTGTTTTCGCCATGGCTTTTCTCCTGTTTCCCTTCATTCCCCTGTTATCATACTCCTCCAGAAACAACCTCCCCAGATAAGGATCATATCCAAATGCTCTAATCCCTGGATTTGCAATCATAATTACCTCTATATGAAAACTTCCGCCCTCCACAAAAACCAGCACCGATTGACAGCCATTCACAATGGAGGTAATTTTGGGCGCTGTGCAACCCAGAGCTTCCCCAGCTAATAATAGTTTTGTATGGTCTATCATCTCGTCGTACCAACAAACAATGAAGTAAAGGTAGTATGCTTTTTTTTTTGGTAAAAAAAAAAAGTGTTGTGAAGTCTAGTAAAACATTAATTATTGAGTTAGGGAAGAACCTTCAAATAATGGAGAAGGTTCTTTCATCCAATGTTTAGTGTTTTTAATTCAAATTACAAAATAACTTTTCTAAAAATAACATGTTATTTCAGTATTTTCAATTTTGTTAGATGTTTGATGTCAACAATCATCCAACAATAGTAATTGGCAATTGCCAAATTTGATGCAAGCAACGGCTAAAGCAAATTATACTGAAAAGAAGAAGTCAAATAATTAACGTAAATCTATCTCGACCATGGAAAAGACAGGGCCAAAAACAGAAACGGAAAAATGTATAAATTGGTAAGGTAAGCACCCCAAGCGTCTGTCAACGTCTTTCTCTCTTTTTCTGCAATCCTCCTCTCATACCACCAAGTAGAGAGACAAGGAGGGCTCCTTCGAAAGGTTCAGAGACCAGAATCTCAAGATCAATATGGGTGCTTGTGCTAGTGTTTCAAAGAACATGAGGGATAAAGAAGCAGAGGTCCCTGCTACCGAACCCATCAAGGAGGAGTCCGCTGAGGGTGAGCACACCACCAAGGAAGAGAACAAGGCTGATGGAGAACAGTCTCTAGCTTCTTTGCTAGATCAGGTTTTTAATTTTTTTTTTTCTTTTCCGTAGAATATAAGTATATATTCAAGAGTAGGGGAATAAAAATGATGTATGCCTTTTTCTAATTTTATGAACTAATTAATCTGAATATTTAACATATTTCTGAATGCGTGAGCAGCAGGTTCCGGCGGCAGACGAAGGCGAAGCAGAGTTGCCCAGTCAGGCGGTGGCTGCAGAGGAAAACAAGGAAGAAGTGGCAGCCGTAGCAGCAGCTACAGAGCCAGAAAAGATTGCAGTTTCTGAGGAGGAACAGACGGAAGAGCAAAAGGAATCGAATTGAGAAACTGTAGAACATATGCACGCAGCTTGTCTCTTGGGAGAAAGTATTAAAGGAGTTCTGGTTGTTGTTTGATCCTTTTGCTTTAGTGCAAAATAACTGACTTTTTTCCGTATTTAAGTTCTTCTCCGGAACAACAGAATTTAGTATTCTTTATTCAAAACATATTGACATTTAAAATATTAAAAATAATAATGAAAAAACTAAATATCTTAAATAAATTAACATAATAAAAAAAAGACTTATCAAGAGCATTTAATCGGTTTAAACAGTTTTCCCAGTAGTTGGTATAACATATTTTTCTTAACAGTTCTGCATCACCACTGAAATGAAATCAAATTCCTCTTAAAATAAATTTAAGATGCAAAGACTCAAAAATCCCCGAAGTGGGAAGAAAACCAAATAATGTCCACCTAGAATACTCTTGGCCCGATACAAAAATAATAGACCGAAGCAACAGAAACTGAAATGGACTTTCGATACACGCCACTCTTTTTCCAGTGATAATATGGCATCTAGAACCCTAACAAGACGCAAAGACTCAAGCACTGACTAGGAAAACTACTTTCCTCAACCAATAAACCAAGCTTCAAAATCAACCAAACCATCTTAGACATATGACACAAGACCAACTGGTCAAGAGATGAGACCTTAATCCTCCAGTCTCTTCATCCAAATTAGAAGCACTTCCGGTGAACAATGGCTGGACCTGATTCATCATACTCACTCTTGGTAATCCACATCTGCAACATAAAAATGGAAATTTAAGAAAAAGAAGAACAAGGAAACTCAGTAACGTTTATTAACCAAAATATGAATGTGCATTTCTAAAAGAAACACACTAGGAATGGTTATAGATCCAAAGACAAAAATTACCTGTTGGAAGGTGCTAAGAGATGCCAAGATGGATCCCCCAATCCATACACTATATTTTCTCTCAGGAGGAGCAACAACCTTGATCTTCATGCTTGCAGGAGCAAGGGCAGTGATTTCCTTGCTCATTCTATCAGCGATACCAGGGAACATGGTTGATCCACCGCTAAGAACAATGTTTCCATAAAGGTCCTTCCTGATATCGACATCACACTTCATGATGGAGTTGTAAGTGGTTTCGTGGATTCCAGCAGCTTCCATTCCAATTAGTGATGGCTGGAACAGGACTTCAGGGCAGCGGAACCTCTCTGCCCCAATGGTGATCACTTGCCCATCAGGCAATTCATAGCTCTTTTCAATTGCAGAGCTACTCTTGGCAGTCTCCAACTCTTGTTCATAGTCAAGAGCAACATAAGCAAGTTTCTCTTTCATGTCACGTACAATTTCCCGTTCAGCAGTAGTGGTGAAAGAGTAGCCTCTCTCTGTCAAGATCTTCATCAAGGCATCTGTAAGATCACGACCAGCAAGGTCCAACCGAAGGATTGCATGGGGGAGGGCATAACCTTCATAAATTGGCACTGTGTGGCTCACACCATCACCAGAATCCAAGACAATACCTATATTTATAAGCTATTATAGTCAGTGGAAAACGAAAGGGAAAAAGAAAAAAGAGATCAATTATCAATGATAAAAGATTATAAACCTGTTGTGCGACCACTGGCATAGAGTGACAGAACAGCCTGGATAGCAACATACATGGCAGGCACATTGAAAGTTTCAAACATGATCTGGGTCATCTTCTCTCTATTAGCCTTAGGGTTGAGAGGTGCCTCAGTAAGAAGAACTGGATGTTCTTCAGGAGCAACACGCAGCTCATTGTAGAACGTATGATGCCAAATCTTTTCCATGTCATCCCAATTGCTGACAATGCCATGTTCAATAGGGTATTTCAATGTGAGGATACCTCTTTTTGATTGGGCCTCATCACCTACATACGCATCTTTTTGTCCCATTCCAACCATGACACCTGTATGACGAGGCCGGCCAACAATGCTAGGGAACACTGCCCTAGGGGCATCATCACCAGCAAAACCTGCCTGCAAGTATAAGGACAAGGTGGCCATCAACAATTACGTTCTCACAGCACCCAGCAGAAAAATGACACTAATTAGCACTGTGTTAAGAACACCAAAAGAACAAAAATGATTTACTGACCTTGACCATTCCAGTTCCATTGTCACAGACAAGAGGTTGAATATCCTCAGCATCTGCCATTTTTTATAATCCTGAAAAAGGGAAATAATCATAATATCTTAGGTACAAGGAAGAGACATCAAAACTAGATTTCAAAGTGAGATATTCTGCCCTTTGATGTTCTTGTCTGATATGCACAAAAGTAACAAACTCACATAAACAAATAAATTAGAACAAACAAGAAACATTTTCCACAGCCCAAAACAGATCAAATATGCCAAACATTCATCTAAAATCACCATGATCTATGACACCATAGTGAAAATCATGATTTAATCCTCATTTCCTTTAATGATTTACTCAGGAAAATCCTCAAATTCTAGCTACCAAACAAGCAATATTAGTCCAAAACAAAAACGAAATCGAAAATTTCAAGTGAATACACTAATCACAGTCATTACAGATCTCATGAGTATTGTAACAAGTAGATCGGGATGAATTAGTGCAAACAAATTAACATGAGAGAATCGAATCAACATCCAACTTACGCAGATCTAGATCACAGAAAAACAAGCGTAAAACTGAGAATTCAATCCAAGAAACATGATAAGCAGCTAAAAAATCATACGAGGAAAAACTAATCCAATACGAAGAGATAACGAAATCGTGGATCGAAGAAAGCAAGAAACATAGAGAAATCAAAGCGAGAGAGATTGAAAACGTACTTTGATTGAGCTTTAAGGTTTTGCTTCTCTCTGATTGCCGGAGAGGAGACGAGGAGACGAGAGAAGCTGAAATGAAGAATGGAAGATAGGGAGTGTGGTTTTTAAACAGCAGAAATTCAGGCGAAATGCAAATGAAATTCAACCCAAATTCAACTAGTTTCCGTTTAGGCTGCCGGGAAAAAGTTACTTGCAGAAGCAAACAAATATATTTTTCCCGTTTCTTTAATAAAAAACTAACATTACAGTTGTAAAGTTTCTCTCATAAAAATATTAAAAAAATAAAAATCGATATTTACAATTTATATGATATTATAAATATATAATATAATATTTTTTTATATAATTAGTTATTAGATAATAATTAATATATTTTACAATATATTTATTAAAAAATTATTTTTTTAAATTTAAATTCAAAATAAAAAAAATTCACTTGCAAAATTTCATAGTTGAATTGTGAGGTTAATAAATATATTAAACCAAAAGATATATTAATTATTGTTTTTGGTGATTCGGTATTATCACCCCAAATGGAGTTTTTTTTTTTTTTTTTTTTTTAATTATAGTTATAGATGAGAGATTGGGTAAACTAGTACCCATTAATTTACAACATAATTTGGAGTCAAGATATTAATGTGAAGTAACTAACCCTCTAAATTATCCAAAAAAAAAAGAAAAAAAAGAAAAAAAAAAGAAGTAATTTTTGAGAGAAAATTGCAGGTGTTTGACTATACAAAAAAAATTTAAGATTCTACTTATGTTTAATGGATTAAAGTTGTCACTTTTTTTAAAGAAATAACATTTTGAATTTTTCTAGTTTTTATGAGCCATTGTAGCCAAACACAAGCAAACACTTCCGAATTTGGCCAATTTTTTTAATTTTCTATTTTTAATTTTTCTGTTAATTTTCTTATGAAGTTTGACAACAGCCTTTAACAAACAATTCAGAGAGATTTTGGAATTGAGAATGGCTTTTCCTTTTTGTTCTTTTATTTATTTATTTTTTTTGGTACAATGGTGGTTGGCTTTTTCCAGGGTTATGATTAGAAAATACTAAAACATATTTGATAAATGTTTATTAAATGTATTTAAATATTTTTACAATCTTAATTGTATAATTGAAAAAAGATATTTAATTTTGTTTGAATTTAAAGAGTGTTTAATAAAATTTAAAAATATTTACTTAAAAAATAAATTTTTATCATAAATTTAACTTTTTATTAAAAAGTAAAAAAATTACTTTATAGAGCAACCTTTAATCTGAAGGCAAAAAAAGACTTCAAGGTAAATTTTAAAAAACACTAACATTAAGGTGTATTTAGTTTGAAAAAAATAAAAAAAAAATGAAAAGATGTCATGTCCTTTTATTTTTTTTCCAATCTCCTCTTATCGCCTTCTCTTAATTGAATAAATAAAGGCATTAAAAAAAATTTAAAGTAAGGGTCGTAAAAACATTTCTTCTCTTAATTGAATAAATAAAGGCATTAAAAAAGGTTTAAAGTAAGGGTAGTAAAAACATTTATTCTTTTGTATTTAAATTTACTAAACAAGTTTTTGGTTCGCATATTTCGTTCAGCCGCGTCAATCGATCTTAAGAAACGGATTTTTTGTGGCGTTTTGGATTCGGAGTAAAAGGAAGTGTGTTAATTAGTCTACTCTCCCGCCGTCCAAAGAGACGGTCTGGGAGGACTCGGTGGCCATGTGATGATGTGGGTGTATTTGGACATGACACCTAGGCTAAAATGGGAGTTAACACGTCAGCAGGACGGCGAAAATGGGTTGGGCAGCAACTCTTGTCGGGTGCCGCCCCCGCCTATCAAAGCCTACTCGATCAAACGTTGGCAATGGGTCCACTTGTTGCCTCTACCAACATCAACTCATGCTCTTTTACACCTATGCTGATCTCATTGTTTCCTTTTAATTTTATTTTATTAAAAAAATTATACAATTTAAACTAAACAAAACAATTTTAATTAAGATGACATGATATTTGAGATAAATTCTTGACATTAAGAATTATTTTTATTTAATAATTTATATTTTATAATTTAATATAATTTAAATTATAAAGTAAAATTCTTTTAGTTTATTTTGTGCAAAATATATGATAAAAAAAATAAGTAAAGATTTATTTATATTTATTAAAAATGTTTATTTTTAAAAAAAATTATAATAAATTTTAACTATCAAAATTAAAAA